AACCCCCAAATATATTGAACAATAGTTAATAATGCTTCTTAAACTAGATTTTTTGCACAACCATGATTCTAGTTTCAGTAGTGATTTGATTTTTTTTGTAATTAAGAAATATCTGGGTGCCCAGTACTTCCCTGTGTATTTTGTCAACGTGTTGTTCAAATGTCATGAATTTGTCTAAGTATACTCCCAAATCATTCACTGAAGTTTTCGGTTTGATAGAGAAGCCTTCAAATTCTATGGTTGTGTCATTGGGAATTTTAGCTATGTTCTGCCGGCTACCTATGCATATACATTGTCTTATGTGGATTTAGTTTAAGGCCATTAGTGTCAAAATTTAATTTTGCTTGTGTAAAGGTATGTTGAGTGTTTCTTATTGATGTATTCAAGTTATTTACTGAGTCACTATGAAGAAACTGTGAATCATCGGCGCACTGCACTAGAAGGCAGTTATGACCTATTGTTGATAAATAATTTATGAAAATTGTAAATAGGATCGGAACTAAAATAGATCCTTGCGGAACACCAAAAGGTACTTGTTGTTTTAATGACATACAATCATTGATTCTTACCGATTGGGTCCTTGTATCGAAATAACTTTTAAACCAGAAGGTATCAATTTTATGATTAACTAATTTATTAAGGAGAATTTCATGGTTGACACTATCAGGACGTCTGGCGGTTCGTGTAACATAAAGAACCAGCGCATCAATGCTGCTTTTAATAACTTCCATGAGAATAGTTACTTGTTTGTTTACATTATCTGTCAATGAAATATCTAATAGAGTTATTTCTTTAGACAAGATGAGCTCGCGGAAAGATTGAGGGTCATAGTGTTTGAAATCGCGAAATGTTTATATTACTGGTGGTCGCTTTGTTTTCTTTATATTTAATGTCATCGTGACCATGGTCAACAACAAGGCACGGGATGACATCGGAATGGAGAATGAGACCTGTCTCTTCTTTAGATATTACTAAATCTAATAGAGAAGAGGTGTTTTCTGATTATTCCGTGAAAGGTTTATGTTATTTATTTGTTCTAATTGTTTTTTAATCATTATCCTCTAATTTAGCATTAGATTTTTGTTTTTGTTAAATTCATCATTTAAGACACGGAAGATGAAAAGCGGTTTCTTTTTTAAGGACATTTCTCTAAAAAACATTTTCACTGTATTCAATAGATTCCGAGGTAGCATGGGGTGCCTATAGACAGCGCCAATAATGAAGGAAGGAAGCATGATGCTTTGTACGGTAACCCAGACATCTTCTCAGGCAGTATTGTTAACTGCTGTAGTAGATATCCTGTTTGACTTCAGGGTATCCCGTACATCTATACACACTCCTCCTCCTCGCCCTGCATCACATCTGTAAACTTTAAAATTTGGAATATTGATGGAATTACTAACCATTTCCTAGTGGAGCCATGTTTCACTTATGTATGATATGTCTATGTTTCTTTCCTCAACAAGCATTTTAATTTCTTCAAAATGCCCGAGGAGAGACTGAGCGTTTATATGCTCTATTTGTATGACATTTTGCGATCTAGCTATTGGTAACGCTGACGGCGTTGCCTGGTCAAACATTCTGATCGCGCTTGTACTTGTTTTTGTTTAGGAACACTAATATTGACAGGAAAAGCATCAGTCTAAAAAATAGTTCAGGCTTTATGTTCTTTCCTCTTACTGACACGGTGAAGCTGGTGTGGTAGCCATGTGCCATCACCCTCTCAAGGGCTTGAAATGTTATGAAACTTTTCTGATAAATTGTCTATATCCTCTTCGTTTGTGTCTGGGTGACAACTGGGATGTAAAGGTAGACTGTGTCAGGACGATCTGCTCCCTTTAACGGCTTTGGTGTTTGGTGTTCTCTGTCTCTTTTTCTCTGACTTCTTGATTTGACCTTTGGTGTGTAACCGTCTCTTATATCGAGAGAGTTGAGTGAGTGAGTGATGAAAGAGAGTGACAGAGAGAGAGAGAGTGAGAGGAGGTGTAGAGTGTGAGGAGAGTGAGAGTGAGAGTGAGAGTGAGAGTGAGAGTGAGAGTGAGAGTAGATAGATAGACTATATATAATATATATAATATATATATATATATTATATATATTTAATATATATATATGTGTGTGTGTTGTGTGTGTGTGTGTGTGTGTGTGTGTGTGTAATGTATATATATATAATATATATGTTTATATGTATATATATTATATATATTGTTATATATATTTATTTATATTTATATTAATATACATATATATATATAATATATATATATTCCTATATATATATTTATATATATATAATTATATATTATAGAATATGTATAATGAACATTATAACCTCTCCGATCGGGATTCGATCCCTCGCCGCCAATGCACGTGAATGCAAGACGGCCCCGATCGGAGAGGTTATAATGTTCATGAAAAAAAAAAAAAAAAAAAAAAAATGCGGTATTGCATTATTCCATCTTTCATATATAATGTATATATATATACATATATATATGTTATATGTATATATATTATTATATGCTATATATATATATATAATATAGTATTATATATACAGAGATAAGATAGATAGATAGATAGAGAGAGAGAGAGAAGAAGAGAGAAGAGAGCCCAGAGAGAGAGGAGAGAGAGAGGGAGGGAGGGAGGGAGGGAGGGAGGGAGGGGATAGATGATAGAATAGAGAGAGAGAGAGAGAGAGAGAGAAGAGAGAGGATAAGAGGAGAGAGAGAGAGAGAGAGGAGAGGAGAGTTGAAGGAGAGAAGAGAGAGAGAGAGAGTATAGATAACAGAAGAGATAGAGAGAATAGAGTGAGAGAAGTGAGATTATGAGATATAATATAGACATATATATATATATAATATATATATATATATATATATATATATATATATATACATATATTATAGAGAGAAAGAGACAGGGAGGGAGATAGATAGATTAGATAGATAGAGAAGAGTGAGAGTAGATAGACAGATTTATATATATACATATATATATATATTATTATATTATTAAATATATTATATAATATATATATATACATATATACATATATATATATTATATACATATATATATATATATTATATATACTATATAATATATATAATATATACAGAGAGAGAGAGAGGGAAGAGAGTGAGAGAGAGAGAGAGAGAGAGAGAGAGAGAGGGGGAAGAGGATGAGAAAGAGAGAGGAGAGAGAGAGAGGAGAGAGAGGAGAAGAGAGTGAGAGAGAGAGAGAGAGAGAAAGAGAGAGAGAGAAGAGAGAAGGAGAGAGGAGCGAGAAAGAGAGAGAGGAGGAGAGAGATGAGAGAGAGAGAGAGAGAGAGAGGAGAGAGAGAGAGAGAGAGAGAGAGAGAGAGAGAGAGAGAGAGAGAGAGAGAGAGAGCGGGAGATAGATAGATAGATAGAGAAAGAGAGAGAGAGGGGAGAGTTAATGGTCTCTAATTCAGTTATAAAGAGTCCCACTCTACTGAATGGCAGGGTCAGAGAAACACACAATCTTCTTGTTCCTCCACTTTATTGAAGGAGTTACGATATTAGTTGGAAGCTTGGCAGGTAACTTGTCGGTCAGGCCCACGGGTTGTCGGGATGGTCGGGGCGAGCTGGGCGCTGTTCTGACCCCGAGGGTGGTGAGCGAAGTAGCGAGAACAGGTCGAGGTGGGTCGCTACGAGGTCGGTTCATCTCTTGACCTCTGGCGCCCTAGCGCGGCGGACAGCGTGGTGTATATTTATACCAAGCCGCCTGGTACAAACATCCGGTACCAACAACAGGCATACGAATATGGTACGCATTAGTAACTCCCATATCGCTCCGCGCACTGGCGGCTCACGCCGTGGGTCACGCCGCCCCGCGCTGTTATTGCTCTGAGCATTTCCCTTCCCCTTCCCTGGATTCACTACATTTACGACTATCTGCACATTTCCACCTTTGTCTGTCATTTCATTGGCAAGAACTTCAGGGGGCTTCGCGAATGACGCACTATCCACTTTATCACAAACTCGTTCGCGCACAGCCGGAGAAACAGCTGACAAGAGCCACGCTTTCGCAAAATGCTCGAGCACGGCGGCATGCGATGCACTCTGCGTTACGCATTGTGTCAGACAACCTGACGCATCTGAGCTCGGAATGGACTGTGCCCATTGCATTAACTTAACCCTAAACTTATTTAAGTAGGATGAAAGATCATCCTTGGAAAAGGAAGTAGACTTCACCTGTAATAACTACTAACCGTAAATGATGGTTATCGGTTTGCCTCGAGAATGTAGATGTGAAAATACTTTTCAAATTTACGTCTGATCCTGAGGCAGATGACTGAACGAGTCAAGCGCCTCAGCCACACGTGGTATTTCGTGGTTGAGCCGCATCCTGGCCGCCACGAGGCACGAGGTAGCAAAATGCTCAGACTCTCGTCTAACCCCTGAATGGATTACTGTGTCCTCAACATCAGCAAAGAATTGGTCCACAGAAACGTTAGAACCTGAGAATTTCGAAGCTACATTGTACAACGTGGGCGCCATTCCTGAACTCATCTTTACGGAAGCTGTAATACGAGAGAGGTCAGAAGAGGCAGGCAGAGTAGAAGAGGGGAGACTGATTCAAAGGTAGATGGTGAGGGGGAAAGTGAGCGAGAAGAAGAAGGAGAAGGCGAGTCAGAATGTCTATGAGGAAAGCCTAATGAAGTCTGAAGAGCCTTTACAACAAACGACTTCTTAGCACGAGTATTTTCAGAAGGAGGAGAGCTAATGAGTAATTAGAAAACAGGCCGCCGAATTTACCGATATTAGCTATTGTGGCTGCGTTATCGGATGAAAAGACGAACTGTAAACGCAAATAATTCTCCAAA